AGACGGCTTCCCGGGCAATCAAGAAGCCGGACGGTATGTCATTACCCACTGCTTGGCTTCCTGATTGCCCGGGAAGCCTGCTCCATGCCAGCGGAAGCACTGGTATTGGTACTCGTTTTCGTCCGATAATCGCAAGGTGTATGGGCAGTGTACAACCGCAAATACTGTACAATCGTACGACATTTGACTTTCTAGCATGTTTGAAAACTTTGGTCGATCGTACGATTATTGCAAGGTTAGTGGCGTTTCCGTACGTCAAAAAACATACGATCTACACTGCTCATGCGTAAACGAAAATACGTGCGGTTGATTACCGCAATTCGTCCAGGTGCTTTTCTTTAATTATGGCTAATTGAACCTAGCGACAATCGGGGCATAATGGGGCTGCTGTACGACAATCGTACGACTTTTCGATAATCGGACGAAAAGTGTCGTCTGGCAATCAGTCAGGTGTATGGCCATTAAATACCACCAAAAGAAAGCTCTATCTGTCCCCAAAAATTGGTATGAAATTCATTTCAGTACAGCGTTGCATGACGGAATAAACATCAGTCAAAGTACCGCAGCGCTGAATACTGAAAAATGGCCTGGCCAGGAAGGGGGTGAAACACCATGGCCTTTAAGTGGTTAAGGCCCCGTTCACACCTCGGCGTACTGGGAAGACGTTCATTCATGTTTCTATGTGTTCTTTTCCTGGGTTTAAGTGCTCATTTATTGACGAATGTGGTCTCTCATTAGCAAGCGCTTTTGGGGCCGCACAGGGTCTCCATCAGGCTGAGATGATCTCATCTCTGAGCCTGATGTTGGGGACCCTGTGCGGCCCCGAAAGCGCTTGCTAATGAGAGACCACATTCGTCATTAAATGAGCAGTTGATTGCTGTTATCATCTTTGGTGTGCTGGTGACATCATCCTATTGTCTACATGTGGCGGCGCCATCCGCAGTCATTTCAAGCACCCGTCTGCATATTATGGGAATCTCGTTAAGGAGTACGGCAAGGTTTCTTTTTTTTTTCTTTCTTTTCCAGGGTTTGCTGCACGTCCCCCATTGATTTTCAATAGGTGCCACACCCCTTGTGTTTGTGCAAAGTTTTAACATGCATATTCCCTGCTGCGTTTGGGGTGCCAAGTAATGGCACTGCAAGCGCGACACTTCTTTTTGGATACGTTCCGTAAACATGCATTAAAGTATGCGCGTGTTCACAGAACTTGAAGGTGCGAACGGGGACTAAAGCTGAGTTCACACCAGCCTGCATCATGCTCTAAAACAGGGGTAGCAAACCTCTGGCCCTCCAGCTGTGGTGGAACTACAAATCCCATGAGGCATTGCAAGATTCTCACAGCCACAGACATGACTCCCAAAGAGATGCATCATGGGATTTGTAGTTTCACCACAGCTGGAGGGCCGAAGGTTTGCTACCCCTGCTCTAAAAAGTGACCCGGTTGCAGCGTTGACATTGCAACAACACGGGGGAACCACACATCTTTCTATTCAAGTGGTGCTGTACATCGGGGACTTGTAGGGCTGTCTGTGAAATAACCTCACTCTTCCCAAAACTAAAAAAAAACATCGGTCAGCCTTGAAGCACTGGGTCATTGGCTTCAATTCAAGCTTTAATTGAGGCAGCTGCTACATTTGAGTCATGTTGTTCATATGAATACTGGTTCCTTGTTGTTCATGTGGGGTGTGTGATTATGGTGATTGGATTAATCCATGGGAACACAAGTGAAGATACGTTGTGCTGATTCTTCTCTAACCTGAATTCACCTTTTGTTAAAGAAACAATGACTTCCTATTTCAGATATTAGGCATTTAGTACACCCAACATAAAACTTCTTCTTTTCAAATAACTTCATTGACTGTTTGCGTGATATCATTTGTCACTTGTTGGTTTTAGTTAATTTTTTTCTTTTTTCCAAGTTCCTCTTTTTGAAGGGCATGTTTACCATTTGGCTAACTGATCATTTAAAAACTTAAAGGAGAACTGTGAGGTGAGTGAAAATCACTCATCCTCATAGTTCGAGCCGACGTGTGACAATGTAACTGTCACACGTTGGCTCGATAGATTGGGAAGTGAGCGAACACATGCCGTCACTCGCTCACTTCTCGATCATCTCCCTGCAGATAGCGGTGACTGTCAGTCACGACTCCCTGCAGGGATTCCCCCCCCCCCCCCTCAGATCCTCCAGCCCTGACTGGCAGAGCAGACGGGGGCGGGTACAGCTGGCTCTGGCACTAGATAGGCAGAGCCAGCTGTCGCGCACCTGGGTGGATCTCGACTAATGTTGGGATGCGTCATGGCTGAGGCGGTCTCAGTATACCACGGGCTGTAGCTTGCGATATACTGAGCTTTGGGTCTCTGGAGGACTCTAGTATATGTCCTCCCATGAGGCTTCAGAGAACTATGAAGAAAAACACTGACCCCATAGTCCTCCTTTTAATGTACCATTTATAACTGTAACACAAAACATTTTGTAAAGTACCTTCTCACAAAGTAACCTGTTTTTATTGTCATGTATTCCACATGCATAATGACCAGGTTCTTTCTGAAGCACAGGGGTAGGCAACCTCGGCACTCCAACTGTTGTGGAACTACCCATTAGGCATTGCAAGACTCAGGGAGGGGATTTGTAGTTTCTTCACAGTTGGAGCACCGAGGTTGCCTACCCCTGCTGTAGGCAATATCACCTTTTTTGAGTTTGTATTGGCTAAAGCTGGCCACGTACTGTGCGCTTTCTGTATGCTCAATACTAGGGTTGCGCGATACCATATTTATTTTTTACCATAGTTACCGTTTTCCTCAAGTACTTGCCGATCCCTTTTCTTCTTTGGTGTCATGTGACCGTTTTTCTAAAACAATAGAGACAAGTGATTTTAGGACAGTGGTGGAGCACCAGGGCACAGTGGCAGCTGTGACCCTGGTAGTTCTGCCACTGACTCCAAGCTGTAGAGGGACTACATATCCCCGGCAATACATTATACAGCAATGCAGAATGGCACCGGCCATAGAGGACCACAAATCCCAGCAATACATTATACAGCAATGCAGAATGGCACCGGCCATAGAGGACTACAAATCCTAGCAATACATTATACCGCAATGCAGAATAATATAAAGGTACATGCTCTGTGCTGCTCCAGGGTGCCGGTCTGATGTCTCCAGTGGAGGATCTCCGGAGGGCTGTGGAGGGTCTCAGAAGTCCACCTGACACCCTCCACAGCCCACCTGAGACTCTCCACAGCCCCCATCCATGCTGTTATGCATGTAGCCCTGGCCGGGGCTATAGACCTGATAAAAAATTTGAGTAGTGGCTAGCTTTAGCTTATTTCTGACCCTCCCTTATTGTTCTAGGATCCGCTAGATATGAATGCACCACCACGCATGCTGGCTCCTGGGATCATTAAATATATTTAAAGCAGATCTTCAGGATTTTCAAAAGGTAACCCTTGCAGTGGGGTCACCCCCACCCCTCACTGAAATGGTTAACAGCTCATTTTGGTCTAGGGAACGGAATAAAGAAGAAATACTCACCAGATCCTTAATCCTGCGTTGGTGACCACTTTCCTCTCTCCTCTCCACATCGGCTGTGGTGAATGTACCTGCAAGACAAGATAACGTCAGCGGGGCTTAGACCACCGGAGCCCGGGGGGAGAAGAGGTTGTGGGGACCTGTCTAGCAGCCAGGAGGGGTCAAGGATCAGGTAAGTATATTTTCTTTATGTGCACCCCTATGCCAAAACGAGTTGTAAACCCTTGCAGTGTGGGGGAAACCCCACAGCAGGGGTTAACTTTTGAAAATCCTGCAGTTCCTCTTCAACATCCCAGTAAGACTACCAAGCCGCACCCCTCAAAATAAATTATATCGGATACAAAAGGAAACCATACATAATTAATGAGAAGGCATGGAAATTCTGCCGTAACCAACAAAAGAAATGTAAAATTCCCCAGAAAATTAATTGGATATTATCATAGGTTTAAAACCATTGGACATCAAACCAGTTCTGGATAATGAACATACTTAAGATAGTAAATCACCCTCATTCTATTCAGGATACCTGAGGGGTTCCATCGAAGACTGGAGCAGTTGTGCATGGCAACCAATCGGCTTCTAGCTTTCATTTTTAAAACTCAACTGAACAAACTAAAGCGAGAAGCTGATTGGTTACTGCTCCATATTCTGTCTACTCCAGTTTAAATACATTTCCCACATACATCATTAAGTAAACATTTGTTATGTGATCTAACCCAAACAAGTAAATATCTCAAAGGATTAACAAATTATTTTGAATAAGGAAATTCCACCAACTAATAAGTTGCAAAATAATGACCAATGTAAATAATTGTGGTGAACGCCTGGGGAAACCCAGTATCCATCCAAATGGGTTTCTGGCATCATAAGGCAACGAGAGGATCCAAAAGATGCTTCATGGATCATGGCTAATGCATGCCACTTTCTCCTATAACATCCGACACAACAGACTTGCATAAGGAAGCTGCTTATCCCATGCAGAGACAAGTCCACATACTGTGTTATGGATGAAATCATAGGAGCAAGTGGGCAAGCACCCCTGCACTGTGTAGTGGTCACCAGTATAGCTGCCGCATGGTCTCTACTCATTACTGCACCTCTCCTGCTAGAATGTCCAGCATTATTGTGTAAGAGGTAGTAAAGGGCGTAGGGAACTGCTGCAACTACTGCAACCTCTTTTCCTGAACCTACTTAAGCCTTTGCTCAAATAACATCTAACCTGTGGACAAACCCATGATGGTTGCCTTAATTCCTGATATGATAAAAAGCAACCTGTCCCACATTATTGTGTAAGAGGTAGTAAAGAGCATAGGGAGTAGGGAACTGGTTGCTCCTGCAGCTACTGCAACCTCTTTCCCTAAGCCTACTTAGGCTTTTGCTCAAATAACATCTTACCTGTGGACATCCCATGATGGTTCTCTTAATCCCTGTTATGACAGACTGCAACCTGTGATGTTTTCTCCCTCTTCCAGATGGCTCAGTGTGTGACCAAAATTCAGTTGTCCATCTCGTGTGCGGACCTGTTGGATAAGGACGTTGGTTCAAAATCTGACCCCTTGTGTGTTGTACAACAGAGCATTGGTGATGGAAAGTGGTCAGAGGTAATTCAATTTTGCTCCATAATATACTGCATGTACATTCCAATGGCTTTTCTTTAATTTCTTTCCCTTGGTGCATGCTATCTACATTACCTGCATCTTTATTTAATGTTTCTCTACAGCTGGCAAGAACGGAGAAGGTGAAGAACTGCCAGAGCCCCGAGTTTTCAACAAAGCCAGTCGTTGATTATTTCTTTGAGAAGGTTCAGAATATCAAGTTTGGTGTCTACGACATTGACAACAAGTCTGTGAATCTAAACGATGACGATTATCTCGGGGGCTATGAGTGCACCCTGGGCCAGGTATGACATCTGCTCCATGAATATTACATGTATTGTGATGACAGCTGTTTTGCTTTCACTGTCTCTTGAGGGTAGACGGCCTCAAATGGGGGCTTTGAACAAGTACTAAGCACCCAAAATTTCATACTGGCTGCTAGCAGCTTTGTTGCATTACATCGTCAGAAAAAAAAAATTGCCACTTCCAATAAATTTTCCACAGCAAGAAAATATAACGCATAACAATAAATCCAAGCCTCACTGACTGCAACAAAACAAATGATATCCCTTTTCTGGCAGGAAGATGGACCTTTTAGTTCACATCACCAAAATTTTAGTTGCTGCCAGCACACAGTGTCTTTCTATAGCATACGATGCTCTGGCTTCTCAAGGTTTTAAAGATTTTGGGAGAGATCTATGCGAAGGAAGCTGACGACTCTATACAGAAAGCTGATTAGTTCAACTTCTAAGGAACCCGCAGCATCCTTTTCTGGGCAAACTGACTTTCCAAGCGCTTTAAGCGGGTGTGCAAAGGCATAAGAGGGCAATCCTGGGAAATGTAACCCCCTTGTCCTTCCATGATCCCCTCACCCGGTGGTTTTCTCACAATATAAACTTGGTCACGTCGTATTCTAGACTCCTTTGGGTTTTAGACTGCTAAAGGGCAACTCTAGCTTCAATCTCCTGTAGGTAAACTATATACATTGCACATTTTTTTTTTTTTTAAATCAGATATTTTTTATTAACATTTTAAAGTTTTGAAACACATTTTTTGTAAAACATAATTGACATCTCATACATATATCCATGTCATACATAGTCATGTCTATAGAAAACAAAACAACTAACTAACAAAACATAGCCATGTGATCCACCATGTATCCTGCATATGTAATTATAAGAAGCAGTTAGGGGGACTAAGCCCGGAGAACATCTCCCTGTGTACTAGTATGTTCAGAAGAAAAATTATAGATGCATATGCCACTGACATCCAGTTGTGCCCTGATCCTGTCAGCGATGGGGGAATATACAAGACTCGCATCCTGCGTTCTCACCCTGTACCATGGCCCTGTGGTCATATTCCATACCTCCCAATACAATGCGCAGCATAGACCTCTACCATTCATCTACCTACTGAGCCATCCAGTCCTCTCCTCACGCCCTCCAATGAACCTAGTGATCTCCAATAGTCTGAGCGGGCCTAGCCCTCCACCTGTCCCAGATATTATAGAACTTATGCAGAGTTCCCCTATGCTCATATGCTATTTTTTCCAGGGCTATAATACGGTCCAACTCCGCCTCCCAGGTCTCTACCTTTGGCGCGACATCCAAAGGAGGGCAATGGTCCTCCTGGCTGCAAATAGAGCCCTAGAAACAGCCTCCACGGTGTAATGGTCCCAATCGGAGGCATCCAACACACCGAGGAGGCGGACCAGCTCTTTGCGGGATCCAGCATGGGGAATTATGTAGAAAATAAAGTATTTGGGGCATCCAGATCATCTTGATCAAATTAATCCTACCCACCACCGACAAGGGGAGTTTCTTCCATACTTTACATTGCGCAGTTAGTTTACATTGCACACATTTTAGCAAATGTTTTTGCTGATTCGTACCTTTTTTTTTTCTCTGTTCTGCCGATGTCCCTTCTAAAACTGATTTCTGAATAGGAGGGTCTGCCTTCATTATAACCCCATCCGGAACCACCAGTGTTTTAATTAGAAGGCCTGCAGTGCGCGCATCCCTTTCGGCATACGTGAGCCCTAGAGACTATTGAACCAAAAATGACAGTCAAATTTCAGGTATCCCCCGCAATAGGAGTGTCAGTACGGAAATTTTTTATTTACGGTGGCATTCTGTGCACGAACAGTGTGCGGAAAGTGTTCAGGGGGCCTATTAACCTCTTGCCGTCCGCCCGTAGTAAAAAAACGGACGGACGGCACTGCTGCATTTGCGGGTTGCCGTCTCCAGACGGCAATTTTTTTCTGCTCGCGCGCGCCCCCTAGCGGGCACGCACGGGCAGAAAAGACCCGACGGTTGCACACACCCGTTACCGGGTGTTTCACATATAGGCGATCAGCGGGTCCATAGCCAGCCGATCGCCTATATGTGCTCGTTCGCTCGTTTTTCCCCCCCCCTGACCCCTCACCTTGAATCCCGGGATCGGCTACCCCATCTTGGACCCCGGGACCGGCTCCGAGGGCGTCGGGAGGAGGAGGACGGGAGATCAGCTCCTTGCTGATCTCCGTCCGGGCTGTGAATGCAGAAGTGATGTGTGTTACATCACTTCCGCATTCACCTGTCAGTCATCTGGCTGCTATAGCCAGAGAGAAGAAGCTGATAAAGCAGATCTCTGCTTCATCAGCTTCTTTTGGGGTCCACAGGTGATATTAGGGGTCCTAGAGACCCCTAATGTCTCCATAAAGAGGACCTGTCAGTGTGCCTTTGCTATTATATAGGGGGATTGTTATCCCCCTATATAATAGCAATAACAATAAGTGCAAAAAAATAAATATAAATTAAAAAAAATAAAAGTAACATATAAAAAAGTAAAATAAAATAAAAGTCACATATAAAAAAAGGGGAAAAAACACCCCCAAAATGTTTAACTCCCCCACCCCCACGTTTACGCGCCTATAAACGTAAATACGCGTCCGGTGCCCCAGCGCGCAAAAATTACAATTGCGCTACACATGTTACATATCGCCGCGAACGTCGCAGTGAGAGCAATCATTTTAGGGCCATCAATCACTGATAACACTAAACTGATGAGCGGTAACAGCTTTTAAAGCGTCGCCTATGGCCAATTTTGGGTATTATCGTTTTTTGAGGTTTCGCGCGCGCACGCAATTTTAAGGCTTGACATGTTTAGTGTCTTTTTACCCGACGTGACCCCATCTTTTATATTTTACCAAAAAATTGGGTAATAATAAATGTTTTATCATTTAATATAGGGGAAACTGTTTTTTTTTTTAAATTTCGGTAATTTTTCCTTAATATAGTAAAAAAATAAAACCCCCAGTGGTGAATAAATACCACCAAAAGAAAGCTCTATCTGTCCCCAAAAAAGGGTATAAAATTCATTTCAGTACAGCGCTGCATGACGGAATAAATGTCAGTCAAAGTACCGCAGCGATGAATACTGAAAAATGGCCTGGATGGGAAGGGGGTTTAACACCGCGGATGTCAACTGGTTAGAGGGACACCGCATTACATTTTGTGGTGATGTTTAGGAAATGACAGCATCTGCAGATTGAAATGGAAAGGCAATCAAATAACATAACCTTACAACATGGCTTGTGTAGGAATAATATCTTATAATAACGGTTATAATATTTATTTATTTTTTTGCCCCTCAGATTGTGTCCAATCGTAAGCTGAAAGGGCCCTTGGAACTGAAGAAAGGAAAACTTGCAGGAAAAGGAACCATTACCGTGAGTTGCTAGGTTCTAAAATGTTTTAGGAAACGCATATTGGTAATTGGTGTTAAGAAAATGTTAACTGCTCGCGGCTTTTGGCAAGCTTTCCATTGTTTCATGTTCATCATTTTTACATTCTTTACATCTATTTTAATTTTGTACATTCACTACACTTTCTTAGGTATTTTATAAACCTGGCTGGCATAAGCCAATTAACACTTCAAGGATACGCATGGGAAATCTGCCTTGAATTTCAGACTGGATGTTGTTGTGTACATTGCATACATGTGGGGGGGGGGGGGGGGGGGGGGGGGTTAGACTCTGGGGTGGAGGGGGGGGGGGGGGGAGGAGGGGAGTGTTTAACTCCAAACACAAGGAGGAATTACCTTTTTAAGGACCCAAGGACAATAACGGGAATGGCACATTTATGTGGTTGAATCATCTTGTCGTATGTAACATTTGCCATTTTATAAAAAAGGTAAAGGTTACTGAGACAAGGGCTTAAAGGACTGTAGGGTTGTATTAAAAAAATAAAATAAACCCCAGTGTCAAACCAACCATGGACTGCCACGTAAACAATAGAAATTACCTTTGTCATTCAGCCATTCCTCCACTGCATTGCATGGCCTACTAATTGAGGCTTTGTGCACTGGACAAGGCTTAACTTTCTCTGATCCACAAACTGTCAGGTAGTGTGCACAAGCTGGGTTTGTGTGGGCAAGGCTGATCTAGAACTCATGCCAGGATGGTGCACATGCTAGGGCTGTGTAGGCAGGGCTGACTCTCTGCTGATCCGAAACCTAATGCCAGGGAGTGCACACAAGGTGGGGCTATGTGGGCATGGTTTGCCTTTCTCTGGTCCTCCAAACTAATGCCAGGGAGTGCACACGATGTGGGGCTGTATGGTCAAGGCTCACCTTCCTTTGATCCTTGAACAAATGCCACAGGCTGGAGCTGTGTGGGCATGGCTAATCCTCCACTTATCTGAGAACTAATGGCAGGGAATGCAACAGATGGCAACCGCACTCAGCAATTCATAACTAGCTAATAAAGTTAGGTGCACATGAAACGGCTTTACACAGTACAAAAACAAAAGGTTTCCGAGCACACTTACCAGCTAGCCTGCAAAAAAACTATTAGGGTTAAAAACAGAGGTTTTAGTTGCACTACCTTTGCAAAATATGTGAAAGCCACACTGCCTCATCAAGTCCCCTTTGTGTAGTGTTGTCCTAACCCTAGTCTATGAGCGCCTCCATCTTTGAGCATATATAGTAGACATGTGCGATTTTCGTTTCGTTACGAATCGAAATTCGTACAAATTTTCCTGAAATTTGTAGATTCGTAAGCATACGAAATCCGAATGGCAGTTTTCCGAATTTATATCCGAAATTCCGTTAACGAATTTCGGATCCGAATTTCTTTGAAACAGGAACTAATATTACCCCTGTAAATTAGGTTGAACATGACAAGATTTTTTTAATAATCCGAAATACGGATCCGCTGCTGCTGAGGGTTGCATTACAATACACAGGCAGGAAATACGAAAATACGTTTTTTCGTTCCATTACGAACATTCGTTATATTGAAGGTAAAAAGCAAAGTACATTTATATTGGAGTTACTGGTAGTTTTTTCTAAAGTTCGGAATACGGAATCCGTTAACGGAATTCGTATTTCGTTTTGGTTGACCAATCAGAGGTTCTCTTCTGCTGCTGAGAGTTGCATTACAAATACAGGCAGGAAATACGAAATTCCGTTGACATATTTTCGTTCCATTACGAACATTCGTTATATTGAAGGTAAAAAGCAAAGTACATTTATATTGGAGTTGATGGTAGTTTTTTTTTAAGGCCGAAATACGAAATTCGGATACGGAATCCGTTAACGGAATTCGTATTTCGGATAAAAAAACAACTACCACATCGACTCCAATATTAACAAAGGTATTTTTGCTTTTTAACTTCATCATAACGAATGTTCGTAAAGTTACGAAAATGTGCCGAAACTAACGAAAATACGTATTTCGTACGAATCCGAATTGAGTTTTGGATACGAATGTCAAAATAATGGATATTACGAAACGGAACACATTTTTTGACGGCGCACAAGTCTAATATATAGCACAGGATGAATTGGGTGCAGGCTCAACAAGAGGCAGCCCATTCCTCCTTAAAGGCACAAGAACACAAGGGACAGGGAGTGCGCACAAGTTGGGACTGGGCCAGACTCAGGCTGTACATTATGCTTTGCGTGCCTGAGATATAAGCCCTGCCAACCTGGCTTCACCTTGCCAGTAAGGCCCAAACACTGTGTCTGGTTGTGGGTTGTGCAGTTCAGTGGAGGAAATGCTAATGGTGGGGTTTTTGCTCAGGATCTGAAGAGTGGTCACACTCCTTCATCCTTCCAAAACTCTATATTTGTTTTTCAATTTGATGGGCAGTCTTAGAGTCCAAAGAGGTATCAGCAAGGAATGTTCCAGCCCTAAGCCTTATTGATAAAGGTTAGGGTTGTCAGAACATCCAGATTTCTGGGATTCGGGAGGACTAAGGAAGACTAAACCACAGTGTCTATAATTTTTTTGCATTTATGCTATTAAAGCAGAACTACATCCTTCTATCCCTTACAGCCAAGGAAGGTGCCATCTTAGCCTCTATTTGGATTGCAATTGCACGCTTGAAACAAAACAAAATAAAACGAAATAAAAACACTGACAAACTTGACAGTTGGCATGTTTTAAAAGTAACTTTTTGGAAGACATAAAATTGTTGGCTAAAGTTTTTCTCTTTGTCTATTTAAAAGTGATCTAGCTCCCAACTACTCCAGTTTCTAGCCAGCTTAGTTCCTGGTGTCCTTGACCACCTTTTTGGGTTCCAATGCAGGTAATGCAAATTCTCGCTGAAAGACAAAAGAAACAGCCAGGAAACCTCTCCAGCAGTAAATGTAACAACATTTCCGTTTTGGGTGGACTGACTCAATTGCTTAGACCAGGCATGTCAAACTGGTGCTTTATGGGTCACCTGCAACCTTCTAACTCCTTTGTACCTCCACTATCAATATTCCATAATATTTTTGTGGCATAAGTAGGTGTGCCCTCTTTTAATGAACGAATGTGTGTGTATGTATCTATGTATGTGTGTTTTTAAATGCTTACCCCCCCTTCTCTCCTTTTTGTTGTTGTTTCAGATTATAGCAGAAGAGATTAAGGATGCACGAATTGTAAATCTAGAGATTGAAGCTAGGAACTTGGATAAAAAGGTACTGTAATAATGCTGACGACCAAAATAACAACCTTGATTGATTAAAGAATCCGTATCTCCAAAAGCCCCCCCCCCCATCTCTTGCACGCTCTCTCTCGCGCACACGCATTCTTTTCCCCTACCCGTAGTATGTACCAGCTTTTATTACACCCTGTCCGGGGCTCGCCAGGCTTACAAAAATCTTTGCAAAGACAGCTACCATGGAAGGAATCAACAGGGTACCCTAGGTCAGTTCCTAATGGTGTAGGAGCACCTCCAGAACTACATCTCTCTAGTGCCCTATCCCTACACATAGTGCCTTGGGAGTCAAGGCAGCTGCATTGTTTTGCTGGGGAAGAAATCTATGTGTTTATGTAAAGAGGGACAGAGAGATGCAGGGATAGGCAGGGGAATTCAGCAGGGGAGAGTGTAGGCAGAGCTGCTAACAATGCTTGGGTACAGCAGGGGTAGTGTTGTCAACTCACTGCTGGAGGTCAGGCATTTGCTGGAGTTCTGACAGGATCAGCAGGTATTTCACTTTTATGGATGGATGGATGGATGGGTGGGTGGATAGATGGGTAATATTACAGGACAGATGCATTGATGCAGATTACGTTTTTTATATTATTATTATTAATAATTATATTTAATTTATACAAGATTTATATAGCGCCAACAGTTTGCACAGCGCTTAGCTAGTGAGACAAATTGGGAATAGTTACTGGCTGTAATTGAAGAATACTAAGAAGAGATGCAACTGCTCACATTGTAACGATTTAAACAGAGGCGACTGTACAGCTGAAACTCAATGTTAAAAACTAGATTTAAATAACAATCTTTTTTTAATTTATGTAGTGACTGTTTAATATTCTGTTGTGTACAACTATTTTGTTTTTTCCATGTATTTTTTTTGTTTTTTTTTGCTTTATCTCTAGGATTTCCTTGGGAAATCGGATCCATTCCTGGAGCTGTACAGGCAAGGGGATGATGGATCCTGGCAACTAGCACACAGGACAGAGGTAGAATATTTTGCACACGTTGGGGCAATAAGCCTGAAATGCTTACGCAGTAACATCTTTTTAAAGTGGACCAGTGTTTTTTCCCATGCGGGGCAAAGCAGGAGGATCACCTTTTAAAGTAACCCTGTCAGCATAGAAAAAGTAAAAAAATAAACTGGCATCCCCTGGAAAAGAAGCAGCTTAAAAGATGGATAGATATACAATGCAGACGTAAACATCTAAAACCATCATTTTGGTGGGTGCATATGTAACAACCAAAGTCTGGTACACATATGTTCTGTTGAAAAGATTCAGTACTTGCCAGCGTGTTGTAACATTTCTGTCAATTTTAAAAACCATCTGGAAATGATTCATCCAGGGATCAGCATGGGGTCTGGGTTATCTGCATTGCATGGCACATGTGCAGCTTAAACGGCTCTTGTTTGTTTTTTTAGATTGTATATTCTGTGTTCCTACAGGTGGTGAAGAACAATCTGAATCCTTCCTGGAAGAAGTTCAGTGTTAGCTTGCAGAGTTTATGTGCTGGGGACTTAAGTAAACCTATCAAGGTGAGGATCGAGGTTGTGTCACAGCATGATATTTCAGAGTCCAGCAGTATAGGGGAGGAGCATATCCTGTAATTAGCAGCTGTATCGTTAAAGGGAAATTCCACCTTTTTTAAAAATCAACAAATGCACACTTCATGAAAGAAGGTAGCTGGAGATGTGACCATGTTACTCCCTAAATATGGGTATAACCTGAAACATGGTCAGAAAGGTAAACTAAAGCTGGCTATACACTGTACAGATTTTAGCACAGTGGGTGGCCCTGTCACCCTCCTTCTGTCCAGCATCCTTTGATCAGAAGGTCGAAGGAGACGGATGGAAAATCTTTGAGTGAACAGCAAAGGCAGTGAATCAGTTGCCATCACTCTTTGCATATTCCGACAGTGTCAACCCTGCTGCTAGCAGAATACAAAGCACACAGCGGGAGATTCGTCCATCCATGCTGTTTAGTGTGGATAGAGGAATCGTTTAAAATGTTTGTGTTGTTCAGCCTGCAGGTTGCACAAAAAAAAATATAATGGTGTATACCCAGCTTTAGCTCTTAAAGTGTTTGTCATTGCTAACCACTTTATTTAAAGTGCTTGTTGTCTGGCAACTCTGGCTTCAATGATTCCGAGTCACTGACTTAAAGGACTGTATATTTGATTTTCTGACTTTTTTTTATATTTGCAGAATGTGTTTTTTGTTTTTTTTGTTTTGTGTGTTTTTTTGTAGGGGTTTCCCCCCCCACTTGGGCACAAATGATATAATCATGCCCAAGCGTTGCATCCTGGGGAGATTACACCAGCAGAGCATTGCTGGGAAATCTCCTCCTGTAATCTCAGGGAAAGGCCTTTTTCTCCCCTGAGATGATGTGCATGATCACATGTCCTAGTCACATGTGCCAGAGTTCCAGGAAGTAAAGGGAGATCTAGTACCCTGCCCTTAGTTAAAATAACCACTGTCAGAAGACTAGGGGAGAAAAGAAAGGTATGCAAAGAATAAAAAGCCAGCAATTATCTATTCAATCAGCAAGTTCTCCATCAGGTCCTCTTCTACTGATTGACAGCAGCAGAGGGTGGGTGTAATAGCTAGTTTGCTATTGGCTATTGCAAAGTGAAATGGCCAATAGGAATCTAGCTATGCATTCCCATGGTGGGTTTTTTTTATTTTTATTCTGACGGCGTATACCAGTGGTTCTCAACCTGTTGGTCGCTGTGTGACTACTGCTGTGCTACGTGAGAGTTCTCCTCAGCCCTCTCCTGGCACAGCATTGTCAGTTCTCCCGCCACGCCGCCAGATGTCGTTGCAGCAGCCACGTCATCCGTAAATTTTACCGCTGGGGGTCACCACAACTTGGCAAATGTTACCAAGGGGTCCCGGCCCTAGAAAGGTTGAGAACCACTGATCTATAGGTATCTGTTTGTAGATTGTCTTTTTTTTTTTTTTTTTAAGATATGGGTAAAGTTCCTCTTTAATTTTGTGTTGGGATTGCTTTAACAAATGTTCATGCAATGGATTTTTGTGCACTGTATAAATGTCACTTTTTGAAATCCTTTTTTCATCAGTCAGTTTGATGCATGTTGTAATATGTTTTTATATATTACTTGGCATAGTTGGTACTTTCAGGGATCCTTTAAAAACAGCTGAGCAAACATTGGCCTGTGGTGTCCAGTTTAGGACATCTATCATCCATCCCTCTGTTCTGAGTTTCTTCTGCTTATTCCCTCTTTCTTAAAAGGAAAGAAAGGCATTAATGATACAGGATTTGCAGAGCTTTTTCAATTTTCTGAAAGAGACCAGCAGTAGCTTTTTCCTTTTTGAGACTGTCTCTCGCTAATTGAAACTGTACAGGCAGGGAGAGGGAATGAGTCACTTTTCTCTGTGTGTGTGTGTATTGTGTTCTATAAACAACTGGCTGTTTCTTGACAGCCTGAACGTTTTGTAGCGCGTTCTACGCTCGACGAACGCTCTACAAAACGCTCAAAAATATAAATCCCATTGTAGTCAATGGTCTCGTTCCCACATTGGCGTATTTCCGCCCGTCCCTAACGCGCTACAAAACGGCCCACACCTGAAAAGGTACATGTACTACTTTGGGCCGTTTTGTAGCGCGTTTCCATTGGGATACAGCCATCGTGAATAAATAAAATCTACACAAAACGCTATATATTAACTTTAACTACATTATAAAACTGTTGCCTTTGCTTCTACTTCTGCTGTCCTAAACACATTTTATTGCAAGAGAAGTTGTGCCTGTGGTGAGTCGCATGCCCACTGCTGATTTCTCTGTTTAAAGGTGGTTGGGGTTGTCACACTGGGGCAGGACCAGCCCATTGTTGGCTTTGCCAGAACGATGGGGTCAACCTATAGACCACAGGGCAATGGAATTGTTCATGTGATCCATAGTCAAGGGTAGCCCAAAGGAGATCTCCACTCCTAAACTGAGCTGTCAGGTAAGATGCTTTGCTAGAAAGGATGAAGGTGTTTTAAAGGAACAGAACAAAAAAAAAATCCTAAACTGCATCAGACTGACTGATAAATGGTCGGCTTTAATTGTGAAATATCTTCTTTAAAGGGAATCATCTGTTGGGAAGGGTTGCTATTTATCACAGTCTTGGCCTCCATCCAACTCTGGAGGCTGACCTGGCCTGACTTGTTGAAGTAGGGCTGATTCTAGGGCAGAATACTGCTGTGCCTTCTTTGGAACTAGAACCTCATCTGGTCGTTGGGCAGTCACAGCCTCCAGAACTGGAGTGGAACCCCAGCTGTGACTGTGAATGGAAATGCTGGTGGTTCATTTTGAAAATGTCTAGAATGTAATCAAACACTTTTCATGTGTCTGGGCTTCTGTATCTGTTTTGATGTCAGGTCTCTGTTAGCGATCACGATGACAGCTCCAGCTGCGATCTCATAGGAGAATTCGAGTGCAACACTTCCAAGCTGCTGGGAGCTCAGGAGCAGCCGGTGAGCCCTATAACCTCTTCTCACTGCGTGCCTCTCTTTCTCTAGGTTCACTGTACAGATTATGATAGCGATGGCTCTCATGACTTAATAGGGATATTTGAGACTAACTTGTCTCAGCTGCAGAAAGCAGAAGGAGGTTCTCCGGTGAGCTCTCTTTTTTTGTTTTTATTCACAATCATTTAACTATACTAATCTCCTTCTCTGCTATGGGTGCATCCAGGGCTGGAATAATGTATATCCAACAACATAGGTTGTGGGCTAGGGTGATGGGGCTGCCAGGAAAGCCACCCAAACGTCATGTTGTTGACTGGGTCCATACGCCTAGAACAAAACTGTCAACTGGGGTGACAGTATGCCCTTTTTTTTTAATTGTTAGTCTAGGTCAGCCTTTCTCAACCGCGGTCCCTCCAGGGGCTGCTAGAGGGCCCTTCTCCCACTGACCATCAATATAGAAGGCCTTTCTCCCACTGACCACCAAGATAAAGTGGGCTCCTATCTCCACTGTCAACCTCAAGTGGACCTTTCCTTTGCTGGTAGGCATAGTAAAGGGTACCCCTTTCCCACTGAACACCAGTGTACAGTGGGCCCTCTTCTCCTACTGACCACCAACGTAAAGTAGACCTCTTCGTTTCCAATGACCAACAATGTAAAGTAGGTTCCTTCTTCCACGCACCTCCAATGTAAAGTGGGCCCTGCTCATAATAACCACCAATGTAAAGGGACACTCCAATTTCATAATCATTACTGAAAATAATTTTGTCATGTAGAGCAGGGAGGTGTTAAAAATGAATTGCTCTATATAACAAATATGCTGAGTTACCCATATTCTTTATTATGTCTGCAACTGTCCGATCATGCTAATGTACATAAACTGCAGATCTAATAACTTTTAGTAAGGATTTTATGGGTTCCCCTGTGGTAGAAAGGTTGAGAAAGGCTAGACATTAATGTAGAGTGCGCAAGACTGTCCCTATCAACCTCTCCATCCCTAGCCTTGGTGTGCCTCAGCTGGTTGTGTCCTGATCTTGTGGTCCTAGGGCTAGCCTGCCACCCTGGCTAGGAGGTGAGCAATCCAAGTTAACTGATCTAGGAGGCAGAGAGAATAAATCCAGCCTTGGGTGCATTGCACTGGCTAATCGCTTCTTTTATTTGCGTGCTTGTTTGGAAAAGCCTGAGGTGGCTCTCAAACTACTTCTGCTGAAAATTACTATGGATGGGGCTGGTTATGGTTGTGTACCAGGTAAAGTGAACCTACTGCAATGCCTAAATCATACAGTAATGTTTGATGTTCAATGTCTGCAAAATGTGTTTTGCATAGGTGGAATTTGAGTGTATTAATCCCCAAAAAAAGCAAAAGAAGAAGAGCTACAAAAACTCTGGGACTGTTCGGGTCAAGTCTTGTAAAGTAAGTGTTTGTTTTCCTTCTACCCCCCCCCTAGAACCTCATCTGGTCGTTGGGCAGTCACAGCCTCCAGAACTGGAGTGGAACCCCAGCTGTGACTGTGAATGGAAATGCTGGTGGTTCATTTTGAAAATGTCTAGAATGTAATCAAACACTTTTCATGTGTCTGGGCTTCTGTATCTGTTTTGATGTCAGGTCTCTGTTAGCGATCACGATGACAGCTCCAGCTGCGATCTCATAGGAGAATTCGAGTGCAACACTTCCAAGCTGCTGGGAGCTCAGGAGCAGCCGGTGAGCCCTATAACCTCTTCTCACTGCGTGCCTCTCTTTCTCTAGGTTCACTGTACAGATTATGATAGCGATGGCTCTCATGACTTAATAGGGATATTTGAGACTAACTTGTCTCAGCTGCAGAAAGCAGAAGGAGGTTCTCCGGTGAGCTCTCTTTTTTTGTTTTTATTCACAATCATTTAACTATACTAATCTCCTTCTCTGCTATGGGTGCATCCAGGGCTGGAATAATGTATATCCAACAACATAGGTTGTGGGCTAGGGTGATGGGGCTGCCAGGAAAGCCACCCAAACGTCATGTTGTTGACTGGGTCCATACGCCTAGAACAAAACTGTCAACTGGGGTGACAGTATGCCCTTTTTTTTTAATTGTTAGTCTAGGTCAGCCTTTCTCAACCGCGGTCCCTCCAGGGGCTGCTAGAGGGCCCTTCTCCCACTGACCATCAATATAGAAGGCCTTTCTCCCACTGACCACCAAGATAAAGTGGGCTCCTATCTCCACTGTCAACCTCAAGTGGACCTTTCCTTTGCTGGTAGGCATAGTAAAGGGTACCCCTTTCCCACTGAACACCAGTGTACAGTGGGCCCTCTTCTCCTACTGACCACCAACGTAAAGTAGACCTCTTCGTTTCCAATGACCAACAATGTAAAGTAGGTTCCTTCTTCCACGCACCTCCAATGTAAAGTGGGCCCTGCTCATAATAACCACCAATGTAAAGGGACACTCCAATTTCATAATCATTACTGAAAATAATTTTGTCATGTAGAGCAGGGAGGTGTTAAAAATGAATTGCTCTATATAACAAATATGCTGAGTTACCCATATTCTTTATTATGTCTGCAACTGTCCGATCATGCTAATGTACATAAACTGCAGATCTAATAACTTTTAGTAAGGATTTTATGGGTTCCCCTGTGGTAGAAAGGTTGGGAAAGGCTAGACATTAATGTAGAGTGCGCAAGACTGTCCCTATCAACCTCTCCATCCCTAGCCTTGGTGTGCCTCAGCTGGTTGTGTCCTGATCTTGTGGTCCTAGGGCTAGCCTGCCACCCTGGCTAGGAGGTGAGCAATCCAAGTTAACTGATCTAGGAGGCAGAGAGAATAAATCCAGCCTTGGGTGCATTGCACTGGCTAATCGCTTCTTTTATTTGCGTGCTTGTTTGGAAAAGCCTGAGGTGGCTCTCAAACTACTTCTGCTGAAAATTACTATGGATGGGGCTGGTTATGGTTGTGTACCAGGTAAAGTGAACCTACTGCAATGCCTAAATCATACAGTAATGTTTGATGTTCAATGTCTGCAAAATGTGTTTTGCATAGGTGGAATTTGAGTGTATTAATCCCCAAAAAAAGCAAAAGAAGAAGAGCTACAAAAACTCTGGGACTGTTCGGGTCAAGTC